TTGAATTGGTGAAAGTTTATTGATACCAAGAAGTGGCAGGTTTAACCGCGGGTATATAAGATACTTCTTATACAGAACATAGGCGGTAGTGGATGAGAATAAAAGAATACTATTATGAAAACAGTAACAGACGAAGCGAAAACATGAATATACAAGGAGCAGTATAAAGGGTAATAGTAGGGAGGTCAAGTACACTGTCTCAAGGAGTTGCATTCTGGCAGACATTTGGGGAAAACGCAACAACAAATCGACAAAACTATATATAAGAAGCCTTGTAAATTACCAAAGGAATTATGAAACATATCCCTAAGATAGCTGACACAACCTTGCCTTCTTGTTTCAAGTCTTGTCTCTTCAATACATTTCCTGCGATTCCGTTCCATCCTCAATATCAGTAATAGAAGCATCGGCCTGCTGATCCATTCCTCCTTGTAGAGCCGCCCCAGGCTGCCTTGACAATTCGACAGGGACAAGACCCCAAGCCTCCCCTAGGTGGCAAAAGTAGCTTGCCATCTGAATGAACAGCTTGCGCTCCCTGCGACCAGCAAAAGCTTGAATCAAATCAGGAACGGAGTACCTAAAGGTTGATTTCCCCGCAATCTAGCATTTTTCCTTGGTTAGCTTTCAATCAGAAATTAAGGAGGGATGCAGTTACAAGAAGCTGGTCTCCTGGGGGCCATGGAAAGTGCTCGGAATTAAAGGTAATAGTCTTTCCTTTGCCTTGTATCAGGACATAGGTCTTGCAGCCGTGCTTTGCATGAACCTGAAACGCATGCGTTATGATAGAGTTTATATCTCTTTCGAAGTTCTCCATGTTGAATGCTGTGGTAAGGCGGTGAGATCAAGATGACAGACACTACAGTTCACCATTGAGGAAGGACATAGAGGGCTATTTAAATTGACTTCTCGATAATTGGATTTAATTAAGGAGTTACTCTGAGAAGAAGTCACAAGTCATTAAGAAGCTAAAGACTATAGTTGAATTATATTATAGGCGAGGTTTCTTATTCCTTTGTTCCGCTTCGCCTGGATGTGACAAGGAGTGCTTCTTACGCCACGATACCCTGGTCTCATTAGAGCAGTTGGCACATGGTAGAATCGAGGGGTATCCATGGTCGGGTCGTCCAAAGCCACTTTGTAAATGCTGTACCTTAATATGCCATGAAATCTTATTCGGGAAGCCACTGATACTCCATTTTCTGTGCTTGTTGATACGCAAATAGATGTTTATCACCTGATCTGGATGATGAATCAGAATCGACACCGGCTGTGAGTATCTTCCACAGGCTTTACAGATACCCTCAAGGCCGAAGCTGGTGAGATGTCCTTTGTCGGTAGCGAATTCCAGGTCATCGGGGTATAAGTGCTGAATAGCTTCAATTATCTCAGAGGCATTTCCTTTGCATTTGATCACACCATGACACCAGGAGAATGTAGATCCTGGTATGCGGTCCGGTGTCCTGTCTAATGTAAAGTAAAATCTGGCCACCAGAAGAGCGGTCGCAACATCACGGGCCGATCTAGCACTGCCTGGCTGGGAAATCACCAGGTTACGGTAATCGCTGATCATCTCAGCACTATCAAGCGTAGAAGGGAGGTTCTTTAGAGAAACGTCGAGACGCATATAGTCAGATCTAGCTGAAGCGTCCAATTCATCTCTTAATTTCAGCCATCT